AAAAACTTTTATTCGTCTAGTTTTTTTCCTCGAACATCAGTTCTTTGGAATTCGCTTCCTTCATCTTGCTTTCCTGATTCATATAATTTGCAATCTTTTAAGTCGTCTGTCAATCGTTATCTTGCTCTAAAATCTTTATCTTTTCTCTTTCAGTAACTTCCAACACTAATTAGTGGTTGCTTGCAGCATTGTTGGAAGCAAAGATGTGTAAAAAAAAAAAAAAAAGCTGTATATCAAGGTTTAAACCTGTAATCTTGTGCATATGTATTAGATTTCATGTTTATTCACTCACATATGAAGACCACATGCTCAGCGTAATTAAGGAGAGATCCGAACAATTTGCATTTCTTAAAAACAAAAATTTACATTTTTAAACTTCAATTTCAGCATCAAGCAAAACAAAACTACCACTTAAATACATAAATCGCAACGAGTCATCATCATAAAAACAACTTAAGCAAATGTGTTAAGTATTTACATTCCAAAAATGTCTCTTTTATTCGAAAGTAAAATAAATTCTTGTTTACAGCTTTAAAATATTCAATAAATGACTAAAAACTTTATATTCTATCTTTTCGTAAACATTAAAAGCGTTAAAATTGAAGTGTTTACATTAGTTTTCACTCATATCAATTTACTACAATAATCTCTTTATAGTCGTTTGAATAAATTACTAAACGAAAATGTTTCAGCTTTTATATAACTTCTGCCCCATAGAATTAAGCTAAAACTTCAAACTCGTAGATAATAAAATCACCAAGTATTTGTAAACAAATTAAAACAACAAGCTTCGTGATTTTTTTTAAAAAATAAACCAATCAAAACGCACACAAAATAAAACAACATTTTTTGAAAGCGAAAGGGACTAAACGCTGAGTGGGTAAAATTGCAGATGTTCGGTTTTTTTTTGAAAGTTTTAGATCTTTTTATGATAATTTAGTATTAAGTACTATTTTAATTTAAAAATTCATAACCAAAAAACTATGTTATAAGGTTTTATGGTCATTACAAAAAAAAGCAACTTTGCAACTAATGTTTAGGGGGTTAAAAGTTAAAAGTTGGGTTATACAGTTGTCTGAGTTATTTATAACTAAACCAATTATAATAAAAGGATAAGTCACATAACTAACTTTATTTATTATTAAAAAAATATGTCAGATGATGTAAACAACCTTACATTCACAGAAAAACATTTTTTTTTAAATCAGTAAAAGGAGGAAAAAGGGAATTTGCTCAAGATCTATGATTGAAAAATCATGTAACAGGAATACCATGTAACTGTGTTAATCTAAAGTATTTTGAAATAATAACAGATGATGACAGGAATAAAAATAATATCATATTTCAATATATTAAAAACAATCATTAGCAGGATTTGGAAATTTCTTCCCTTATTTTTGTTATAGACAAAGGAGAAAATTAATAATAGAACAATCTTATCTCTATAGGTATACATATAAGTGCTAACTGAACATTGTTAGAGATTTGATACACAAATCAAACTGTGTGTATCTATATTTGATTTGAAATAATATTGTGTAAGAGGAATTGAGGAAATTCTTTCAGCCACAGCTATGTGAAAATAAATAATTCAATTTTAAATAATATTTTCAATATAAATTTTACTTTTGCAAAACACGATAGGTCCGAGTAAACTGATTTTTAAAAAACTGCAAAAAAGTGAACTACTTTTAGTTGCGCATCAACAAAAATTGATATTTTTTTCGTCCATTTTTAGAACCAAAAATTTTTTAATTGGTCTTATATTTAAATAGATGATAGATTTCAGTATATAGAATGTAGAAATAAAATTAGCTTAAAATTTTTAATTTTGTGAGCGTTTTTGCAGATGGGCTCTCTATATATAAATATATATATATATATATATATATATATATATATATATATATATATATATATATATATATATATATATATATATATATATATATATATATATATATATATATATATATATATATATATATATATATATATATATATATATATATATATATATAGATATATATATATATATATATATACATATATATATATATATATATATACATATATATATATATATATATATATATATATATATATATATATATATATATATATATATATATATATATATATATATATATATATTATATATATATATATATATATTATATATATATATATATATGTATATATATATATATATATATATATATATATATATATATATATATATATATATATATATATATATATATATATATATATATATATATATATATATATATGTATATATATATACATATATATATACAGTATTGGACAAAACATTTGCAACCAATGCTAAAAAGTGTTCCTTATTTTACATGTCTTAAAAACGAAACGAACTATACTACCACAGCAAACATTTCAGGAGTCTGGAGTCATAGCATGCCATAACATGAACATTCAGCTGACAGGTGACAGCACACAAACTGAATTTCATTGACAAGTG